TGGAAACTAAGACACAAGACTATACTAAGAAACACTTAACAGTTTAAATAGGCAGGCTTTCCTCAAACTGTTTTCACCGACTAAAAAATCTATCCTAAGTAAAGACATTTAGCGGATGAAGACTTGGTAGGGATACTAATAATAATAATGCCTCTTACAATCCAATCTGCAGTATTAGATGACCTTCATTCCACTTATCTCAGAGCAAAGAAAATAAAATCACTTGCTCGTCAGACTTGTTGGTGCCCTGAGATTGACGCTGATATAAGTCGAAAATCTGTTCCGCGTGTTTACACTATTTATTTGAAAACGTAGATATTGGTACAAGGAGGCACCAAGTATATGTGCGCCACACAAATCATTCGATCTGTGAGAGGGCTGGAATACTGCCTGGACACCCAATCCGAAGTAGGTAGTTTCCTTAGAGGGACACACCCCGAGACATTTAAATAAAGGTCTAATCCACAAGGCAGTGGAGCAACGTCAGGAGATGCAGTCCCACGGTAGCTAGTAACCATTTGGTTCATACGCCATTTGTCCCTACAGGATCCTGGAGCCCATGTGCACCATTGGCTTTGAATCAGGGTTTTCCAACTCCCCTGAGGCCTGAGAGCGTGTCCGCATTGACTAAGAGACAACAGCTTGAGGCCGGTCACACACGACCTTTCTTTGAGTAATTTTCATGTTAGCTCCGTATTTGTTGAGACCTTAACTCCCTGTACTATATCCTTATATGTAATCTTTGTTTTATTTATTACGACCATTGAATTAACTACTTCTATGAATTTGGTGTTCATCTTGCTATGCTAATGAAGTGTGGCAACTTGGACCGACGTGAAAATGTGCCTGGTCCTACGTTAAAGTTGACTGACGCTTCGTTGTTTAGTATATGTATATACATTATAGTAAATTACGTTCTTTAATCTATATATATCAATAAATTACTTTTTATTTATCAATTATTATTGAGTAGTAATGTTTACGTTTACTATACAAACGAACTAACAAATAGACGAACAAACTAAAACTCTAAACATTCCAAAACAACAACCTAAGGGTGAATCAATAGACATAAACATCAAATAGTTCGGTTTGTTTATTTATCATCCATCCAGTGAAGATCACATTGGTACATTTACTTTTATTGATTAACAATGGAATGTTTGAAAAGTTCAAGGATATATTTATCTGTACATGTACATGTTTAGTTACGAACAAGAAAACAAATAGCAAATTAAAGTTTCAAGTTAAAATTTCTATAACATAACTGAAGTATCATTATTGATTGCGATCATGAACTGATTGGTGTCAAACCACCACTGAAAACCTGGAAGCACTGGACGACCCTTTCGTCCTCAGCAGTGTGTATCCACCATCTCGCTCGCGGGATTCGAATCCAGGTTAGATATTAACACCGTTGGATGCCGGCTCAGTAGTCTAGTAGGTTCTCGCGCGAGACTGATAGGACCTATATTCGAATCTCGCGTGGCAGGATCATGGATGCGTACTGCTGAGGAGTCCTACAATAGAACGAAACGACGGTCTAGTGCTTTCAGGTTTTCAATGATGGTCTAACATCAATCGGTACATGATCTTAATCAATAAGATCATTAATTCGCATTATTTGACCTTTCATTGTGTACATTTCAAAAACAAGTTAGATTAACATAATGATGATGATGATAATATGATTATTTTTGTTAATGAATAATAACGGAGAAGATAATGTTTGTTTATCTTCAGGATAATCACGATTGGTTGTTTCGCATTCATAGTATAATGGAAATTTAAAAAATTAAAAGTTTTCCGGATGTATACTATTGATTGAAGCTTAGGAGTTGGTATATTTTTAATATTATATGGATGTTGATGTAATTTCAAGCTATCTATAGGTTCATGTTTTTAAATTGTACCCAATTCAGTTACCTATAAATTTTAATTGTATTCTTACTTTAAAATCTAGACAGATGACTCTCTCACTCTTGTGAACTGTTCATACTATTTTTGGTTTTCAGTCAAATGTGTATCAACATGTGTGGTCATATAATTCACAAAATAACTTATCATTTATGTTATATCTAGAAGATTAGATTCTTAATATACCGCGTATAACTTTAGCACTCGAACGCTTGAACACTCCCAAGTCGTAAATGAAAAGACAGAAGACAAGTGAAAGGAATGCTATTCCAGTGTCAACTATGGTACGAAACTGTCAGGTATTTATAGTTTTTAGTAAAGACGAAGTCCTAATTATAGTTCTCAAATCCGAAAACAGGGGGTTATTAGCATTTGACCGATAGAAAAGCTTCATGTGGGGATCCTGGATGGAATATCTTCTGCTCTTTTTGAGCTTCTCAGGGCTTCCTTGAGTTCACCCGTGGACTGTCCTCACATCCTAATAATATCCCATTAAAAATTAGAAACTAGCTTGTATCTTAATAACTTCAACTGACAACTTTGTCATCATTTGTTTGATATTTCTCACTGTTAGATATACGGTATTTAACACCTACATTTGTTACGTAGTTATATTGATTAATGCATTTCTAGAACTCCGCCTGGAGCCTCTCTGGGGCTACTGCCGGTCCCAGAACGATCAGTGAAAAGCAAGGAGGGTAAAGTAAACGCCAACATCGAAGAACAACGAAAGAGGTGGGTAGAACACTCCAAAGAACTCTCGAATCGACCAGCTCCATTAAACCCACCCAGCATCAAAGTAGCGCCCACGGACCTCTTAATCGATGTTGGCCTTCAGACAAATCAAGAGCGGCAAAGCAGTAGGACCAGAAAACATTCCAGCAGAGGCACTGAAAGTAGATATAGCAGTAACTGCAAAGATACTCCACATTCTCTTCAGCAAGATTTGGGATAAAGAACAAGTACCGACAGACTGTAAAGGACTTCTGATCAAAATACCAAAGAAAGACGGTCACAGTAAGTGTGATAACTACAGGGGAATCACTCTTGTCTCAATACCAAGAAAACTCTTCAACAGGGTATTGTTGAACAGAATGAAAGACTCCATGGATGCTTAACTTCGAGACCAACAGGCTGGATTCCGCAAGGATCGATCGAGTACAGACCAAATCGCAACATTACGGATCGTTGTGGAACAATCAACTGAATGGAATTCATCACTCTACATCAACTTCATTGATTACGAGGAAGCACTTGATAGTGTGGACAGGACAACACTGGAGGCTTCTTCGACACTATGGCGTGCCTGAGAAGATAGTCAATATCATACGGAATTCTTACGATGGGTTAAACTGCAAAATTGTGAATGGAGGGCAAGTGATAAACTCGTTCGAGGTAAAGACCTGTCTTGGACAAAGTTGCTTACTCTCACCCTTTCTCTTTTTCCTGGTTGTAAGCAGTTGAATTTTTATCGAAATTATGACCAGTATCAAGTAAATGAGTCAACATACAACTTCTTAATTTCTTTTGTCTTGTGGTCAACCATGAGTGGTGATGTTCACAAATACGAGAATGTATTTGGCTAGTTGTTCACTAAATATAACTAGCTCCGTTAGAGTAGTTGAAGAAGTAAATACACACAGGCAGAGGAACTGGGCAATTTTTCCTTATTTTATGAGTTCGCTATTGGCTGGCTGAAAAAAGCAGGAGGTAATCTTGCTGGATTGAATACACATTTTAAAGTTATTCATAAACATCGAATAACTATGTCACTTTTTAACTGTTATTTCAGGGATATAGACATTTTTGGTACCTTCGGTGATTTCAATTTCGGTTTAGTTGCAGACGTATATTACGCTAGGAACGTAGTAAATCATGAACACTTCTTAGTTCCTATTCAAGTCTGTAATCAGAGCAAAACGTTCTAGCTTTATGGGCCTATCATTTGACTAAGCTTCTCTTATATTGTAATGGGACAAGACTCCAAATATCTGTATATTGGCTTTGAGAAGTCGGTTTACGTGAAACATTTCATTTTTACGACCCGTCAGTTCTTTTGGTCACTAGAACGTCTAGAAAGCAAACACTGCAGTTTTCTTCCCTTGTGGGAGTGACTGCCTGGTGGATTCTGTTAAATGTTTCTAGTAAATTCAGAGCTTCGTTATTGTTTTTCGTAACTATAAACGTATCATCCATATAACTGCAACAAAATTTTAGTTGGCTTATCACATTTTTCTCAAAAGCGTTTCCCAATTTGTCAAAAAGAAATCAGCTAGGATTAGGCTCAATGGTCATACCATAACGACACCGTTGAAATATGAAATTTCACCTTAGTTTTAATTTACCAAACTTCATTACTAATTTATTACTGTATTGTCAAATTGACTCACCACCCATCTATTTCGTATCGATTTTGTACTTAATTGTAAAGCAGAATTTAGTTAATTTTACACTTGACTCATATTCAGTCTATTTTCAGGTCCACTGGTTACATCTGAAAATCATGATATAGACCAACAACTAAAGTTATGTTACCCAACTAGTGCGCTTGAGTATATACAGATCTAAATAGTAACTAAAATAGATCGAATTTCATATGCATAAACCTTGCCATACAGCTAGTTGTTTCTTATCTCCAACTGAATTGTCTACATTTATCTTAATCTACAACAATCCACTGTGATTATATCTTAACAAGGTTTTTCGCTCAACTTCACTAAAATCGCAATACAAATAGAATATTAAGATAAGCCTTTGGAAGTTCATCAGTGTGTAGTGAAAATGATGCAACTAGGTGAAATTGAGTTGTCAATTCCTCACTGTGGGTTCCCTTTGAAACTAGAATTTTCAGTAGGAATCGATAATTTCAATGTAAAAGTTGTGTTTCATAAGCTATTCAGTAATATGCTTAGCTGGAAGTCACCCCTTAATCAATAGCCAAATTAAAGTGATTCAACGATAATCATATTCACTTATTTTCACGATTGAGAACACATCAAAGGGACAACCGGATAGTTAGTTCAGATAAGAAGCGAAATCCTATTCTAACCACTTGAAATTCTATGTGTACAGTATTACAGTAATTGATTGTTCACGAGTTATATTGTAATCCATTATGTGAAATATAAAAGGAAAAACAACTAACTATACCATAAAGTAAAGACATTTAGATAAAATACATAGGTATATATTCATTGAATTGTTACTGCCAAATACAACGATTTCATCTTCAAATTGTATCAAATAACTAGTTTTATAAAAAGCAAAAATTACAACCAGTAGTAATACAAATAATAGTGAGAAGAAAAACAAACAAACAATTAAGCAGCAAATTTCATATCAAGTTATTGATACCACATTAGAATGGATTTGGTCAAATTCTTTATGTTCATTTTCTATATTCTCTTTGTTAATTTGACAAATTGTAGGAGAGAAACTTTTATCGGTAAGTGAATGATGATTATCAGCAACATCATCATCATCATCATAATCGATAACTTCTATAGCCCATGATTGTATATTAGATGATGAAAATATGAGAAAGAAGAATCCAGCAATAAGAAATATTACAGAACCTAAATAAAACACATAACGCCATTGCTCATAAGTTTTCTTGTAAAAGAAAAAAAAACAAAAAGACAACAACACAAATATTTTAAACTTGTATGGACTGTATTCAAATAGAAAGAAACTGTTAGTAATTATTTGTTCTGAAAACAAAATCTTTGTTTTTTCGCTATACATGATGCACTGTGATCATAGGTATTATCTAAGCAGAAAACGTTCACCTAGAGAGACTTGTAGTCTATTGCATTCAACTACCAGAACACTTGTAACAGTGTAACATATTTATGCACGAAATGCCCCGCTATTGCCGAGAGTAGGGAGAGTCCAGTCTCTCTCCCTCTCGAAACGCTCTCACATGCCCACGAGTATAAAGTCTCTACCTGGAAAGTCCTACTCATTGCCTTTTCGTGGCCGGTGTTGTTTACGAAATTGAGAGGACGAAAAGCGAATGTCCGGCGCTTTAACCGGGTTGGTAGACATGGAGAGTCCACCTAGGGGAGTTAGAAAACCCTCATTCCAAACCCATGATGCACATGGGCTCCAGTATGCTGAGGAAACAAATGGCGTATGAACCAATCGTTGGTCACCGGCTACCATGGGACTGCATCTCCTTACAATGCTCCACTGCCTTGTGGATCAGACCTCCAGGTCGAAGGCTTCGGGTGTGATCCCCTAAGAAGACCACCTGCCTCAGTTTGGGAACCCGGGCAGTATCACAGCATTCACACATATCAAATGAGATCTGTGTGGCTCATATGTATTTGGTGCTGAGGAGTCTCACAATAGGACGAAACGGCCGTCCAGTGCTCCCAGGTTTTTCATGGTGGTCTAGCTTCAATTGACTCATGATCTCAACTGTTGAAAGTACTACAATCTCCACAAAATCCCTTCTGTTACCAATATCTGTGTTAAAATAAAATAAAGTAAAGATAATTATGAGTTATTCTATTGCAAATTAGATTAATTTGAGGGATTCAGTACGAAGAAAAGGAAATTTCATGTTCAATAATCAGTCAGTCAATAACGTAGAACTTCGTACGTACGTACATCAGTTCGAGTTGCCACACCACATTAGCACAGAGATACAATTGTCGATTCAAATCCCTTAGTGACAGAGGTAGTAAAAGTATAAGCAACAATCGGAAACGTTAGGGTTTGAAGATGCTATTCAAGGAGTATAACCCCCAGTGAAATAAATTTGGAAATCGAAAAAAAGGGACACGAAGAATTCAGAAGATTAGAATTTGGGAGAACACAAAGAGTGGATGCACCTGCGCCATTTCAATTAATTTTGGACCATGTCATTTAAGGTCTCTAACCATCGGTTGCTATCGTCTCGCGGATCCCAACCAGGTAGTCTACACCTACCCACATGGCTCAGTCCATCTGTCAGTGACTTCATGGATTTGTGCCGTGTTTCGACCTCGCCGTTCATAGCTTTCTTCTAACCTCCTCCTATTGCGTTGGGGCAGTCGGTGGTTGGGCATACGTAACACATGTTCCAGCCATCTCAACTGACGAAGTTTCAGTACTTCATCAATTGATTTGCCATGCTTACCTAGTACCCGTTTCCTAACAACTCCATTACTTACTCGATGGTCCCAGGATATACGAGCAATGCTTCGAAGACACCTATGATCAAATACTAGTAACCTACGAATATCCTCTACTCTTACCGGCCATGTTTTACTGACATAAAGTAGGACGAAACGAACTGCTGCGCAGTAAACACGTCCCTTGATTGGTAGATGGATATCTCGCCTACGCCATAAATGACGCAAGTTGGCAAAAGCTAGTCGGGCCTTCTGTATCCGTGGTGAGATTTCGTCACACACCAGACCACAAAGACTTATGAGACTCCCAAGATAAGTGTTCAAGAACGCAGATTGAGTACTACAATCTAATTTGAATATTCCCGTTACACAAAATTTAACTATTTCTCACGTTCAGAAGAGTAGTCCCATTCGAAAGAAATCTTGATAACTATTATCAATCATTAAATTTGAAACTTTATAGGTTCTGTTTTTTAACTTTTGTTGAGGGCAATGTGAGAAACTTATTATTAGTTAATTGGTTACTTAAAACGTCTGAATAATAACAAGGATGATAGGCCTTATTGATCCTCAGTTGGATTTTTGTCAAATTCAATAGCGATAATACAAATTAATTGATTTGCGGAAATCCGCAGGATACTTTCAAATACCAAAGAATAACCATTGTTCAGCCTGAATTAAAAGTAACCAAAAAAAATTATGTCTAACTTACATCTGGTGTCAAAGCATTTGCTACGACTGGACTCAAAAATCCTGTCAACGCACCAAGTGAATTAGAAGCAGAAAACAGTAAACCAGAATATTTTGGTGTGATTTCGATTGGACTAAGCATTCCACCAGAGAAAACGCCAGAACTAAGGAACAGTCCAAATGTTAGTAGAATAACAACTGCATATTTATTATGATAGTCAAACAATGTGATCAGTATCATAAGGAGAGCCGGTCCAAACATACCTATGGAAGAAAGATTTAAAAAAGAAACATACACATTTCGTACTTTCCTTATATATGTGTTGAGGAGGGGGATCTGTAGAAACTAAGATAAAATGATCCTTATATTAGAGATAAGTGTTAAGGTTAGTAATCTAAACTTTTAAGAAGGAATTGTAATTTTTAAGCAACAATTTTGTATTGGCAAAGATTATTTGATAATGAATGGATGCAATATGTCAATATGAGCAGAATAAAAATCCAAGTTACTCAAAAATTCAGGTTTTGAGTTTCCCTTACCTACAGAAACAATGTGAGCCATGAGGCCTAATCCGTAACTAGATTTCTTCTTTAAATTATATTTAGAGTAAAAATTTGAAATGTGGAGTGTAAGAAAAGAGCAACTGTTCACACTAAATTGTACTCCTTCTATGTAGGAGAAATGGGACAGTAAAGTGGTTAGGAGAGTTACTTTCACGGACGCAGAAGGTAAATGACTTATCGTAAAGATACAAATTACTAATAAACCTTTCTATATTTTGAACTAAGAAACTGATATAAGGGGATAATCAAAATTAGAATGATTTACTCATTGTAATTTTTGTTCAATATTAATTCCATTTTAATACAATGTAATCATTACTTAGTATAGTATTTGTTTCTGTTTTCTCCTATGACATTTTATTCTATTTAACACCATATTCTTATATTAAGTTAACATGAACTATACTGGGCATGTAATTTGTTATAACTTTAAGTGTTTTTCATATATGTGATTTCATCCTATTTATTAATCAAAAAATGGGTGTACAGTCAATATATGAGTGTATTTCCGATTAAACTTGTTGTGGTTGTTCGTGCTTATGGCTGCTTGTGGAATATATTCCCCTCTTTCGAACTTGAACTTCTCTTTCTAGTTAGCTGGGCTGTGATGCGTTGAAACAACTAGCTTATCTGTCATTGTGTCACAGTCTTCATTCCGCTCTCAGATTAGGTGAACTCATAATCTCTTCAAACAAATCTGAATATCTTTTTCTTTAATAGACTGTTTCTTGATGTTTGGTCATTTGTAGCAGAAGTTGTTAACAGAGGTTGGTAAACACAGTTCTACTAACAGATGATCATAGACTCAATAGGGAATACTATATATTATCAAGATGTTTGAAGACTAGATTAGTTCGTAAAATTCACCATGATTCTGTTTTGTTCGTAGTAACTGGTGAATTTCAGAAGCAGTGTCATCGTTATGGGAGCTGTGACATCTTTTATTTGCAAAACATCTTCCGAAACAGAGGTTTAGTGACTAGTGGAGAGGTATTAGTGCGCCGTAGTTATAGCAAACAATTATCGATTTCAAAGGCGATATAGTTACAGATATCTTGAAGAGAATTTCAACTCTCTCAATAAGACGTTTTTTGAGCAACTTTGAGAATAGTATTTTCCAACCAATCAATGTTCAACAATAAATCTAAGGATTAATTATTTCATTAGGCTGATTCTATGTGCGTTTATCAATTTACATGTTCATGTAAAGCCAGGTATATAGGTCATTCGATGCGTATTTTATCTAAAATAATTCAAGAACATTACCCGGTTTGGCTGAAAAGAGATGGAAATTGGTCAATAAGAAGTTCAATAATCAAAAACCTTATTAACACAGATTCTGTATTCAAAATCATCTATAAGATAAGTAGAGAGCTGCCAAAAGCAGTTATATTCCATCTTCTTAGCATTGCCGAAGCACTAGCTTTACATCTGGAATTATGAATCCAAAAGAAACTGTTACAACTTCTACTTCTACCATGGCCTTAATCTCGTAATTTCTTCTTCATTCTTTTCTTTCTTCACGGCCATCTGCTTCCCTTCTATTTTCTTTATAGACCTTCTACCCCCTCCCAAGTGATTTGTTTCTGTTTCCATGATCCTTCTGATTACGGTTCATTTGAATTTCAGCATTTTATCCTAACGTACTGAGCCTTTCTTTCCAAATTGTAATTTCCTAATCTATCTTCATAATGATTATTCAGTTTCTCAACAACACAATTATTATTAGTTTTAATAAAAATAATGATTTTATGCCACTGTTTATTCTATCTCACTGTTGCCATATTTAGCGGAATCTTATTGTCACTATTATCGTTTTGAAAAATATGTATAGACTTTGCAGCATTGATAATGAATTCATCGAAAAGAGAACTATTTGGTGAGCCAAACATTTTTATCTTTATATCTCAATACGTATATTCCGTTAAGTATAGAAAAGACTTTAGTACTTGAATAAGTATGAAGTAACATTGTTAATGTTAAACTCTGTGGTTAATTGTGCATACGCGTCAATGTATTGATCGGTTTACATTGCCTTGGAATTATTGCTGTTCCAGATAAAAGCATCAGCATCCTATCGAAAAGAAAGAATGACACTAAGATTGATCACGAAGACAGTACTTCATAGGATTGAGGCATTGTATCCTGTGTTATTTCTAATAAGGGAGGGATTTTCTAGAATTCCCTCTATTCAAAAGGTCAAACCCAGATGTTACTTTTATGTAATAATGTACAAAAAAGATGATAGGAAGTTAGGTTCCATAAATTTCCCTCCGTGTATTTATTTAATTTGATGTTATATTTTATTTACTTTACTTAAACATATTTGCTCATTTTGATCCTAGTTTAACCAGTGAAACAGTCGCTACCTGGTTACCTAGGTACTAGATCTTATTGTTGACAATTCTATTTAGTCAGATTATTTCTGTAGTACGGACCAAATAAATCTAGTTCCTAGTGGTTAACTTAAAATCAGCACATCGTTAAATTTGATGAGATTATTGTCACAAATGTAGTACTTTAAGATTAAGTTGTTAAATATTACCGTTTAGTTTAATGGAGGACAGTTAACTAATTCAATACGGTAAATCCTCTCAATTCCATAAACAACACCCTCATCTAGAGAAGGCAGTGAGTAGGTCATCCCTATCAGTGGCTGTATACGCGTGGTCGTTTGAGAGCGGACTCTCCCCACCCTTGGTCGTACCAGGCAATTTGGAGCATTTCCTTATCAACTTATCTCAAGCTATAAATAAAAGTCTAAAAGAATTGATGAAACCAGTGAAATGTCTGCTTGTCAGTCATTTCAATCAAAATGAAATAATTTAGGAACAAAATGTTTAGTCCTAAAAAACATAGTAGTTAACAACAGCTTATAGTCAAACTACATATACATATAATGAAAATATTTATTTAGAACTTTTCTGATCGTAATGACTCGCTCATTATATATCATTGTTTACAAAGAAATTATTATGTCATTGTTGTTGTTTTACAAAGCGTAAACACTATGTATTTATTTTCTCCAAGTGAATGGCTTTTAAGCACAAAAATCAGACCTACTCACCTATGCTGTTCATCAGTTTACGAACAACACTCAAAGTTAGAATTCGCCGAGTCAAAAGGATGTCCGATATCCAACCAAATATTAGTTGTCCTATCCACATGCCGATGTATGGTAGGGAAGACAGCAGAGCATTCTACAAGACAATTAGATCATTAATCATTATGACGGTTAACGATGGCTCCAAGAACGAAAATGTATTATGACAGTATAGTTGGTTAATAAAATGCATGAGTTGAACGATCAAACTAATTAATTTTCATGGAATTTCTAACCAAATCCCAACTGAATAGATATAGGATGACAGGACCGCTGACCAACGAAATGGAAATATTAGGGGATTGAAAATGTTACCTGGTCTACAAAATACTGAATATTGATGGTGCAATTTAAATAATCACGAAAAGAAAGAAGGAATATTGCAAAGTAACAAATGATTTCCTTCTATCGACCCTTGAGAACAATATTGTCCGACCGGCCATTTTTTTAAAAAGAAAACCCCACCCCATAAAAAAATTTTCCACCCCCAAATTACAATATTGAATTGAGATGAAAGGATAATAAGTGTCAAGATTAGTTGTTACAATCTAACAAGATTAGTCTTGGATAGTCATGTTCAGCAAATCAAAACCTTGCAGTTAGAACATGGACACTGTAGTATCAGTCATTATTTTAAGCCCATAATATATCTTATTCTAGTTTTTGGACAAATCAATCTATTCATTCTACTTGAGTCATATGTTGACCTTGTCAATTATTCGCTTGTCAGTCTTGATTGTTGTTATATATGAGCGTATATGTGTGTACACTTCATATCCCTGTCTCATCACATGTCTGTAATTTATTTTTTCTGCCTATAAGTATTGAGTAACGCCTGGCTAGAAATGGAGTTGGCTTCCCAGCCATTTCACCTGCGCGTCATTTCGCTTTGTTCTATCGCATTCACTTTACATACAAAATATATGTATTCAAAGGCCATTCTTGTTAATTGACTTATCTAAATTCCGTTATCGACTAACGTGATTAAAGTCGATAATTGTATACGAGGGGAGGTGATAATGAACATTCGTACGATCTAAATGGAGTCAGATCCACGGGTCACTAAAGTGGAAAGCCCTTTCGACAAAATTACGGGCCCCACTAAAACACTATTGTGTGCTAGTTTACTATTTAATGGTTAGATTTATAAAGTGAGGAGAAAGTAGCTTGATGAATATCGAGTGAAGATCGAAGCAAATAACAAGTGCTTTTTCACAACTAAGAAGGATCCAAACCGGTTAAAAAACTGAATCGGAACAGCTGTGAAAACTGTTTGACGAATACGTTACTTTGGTAATTTCTCAAAATGCCTTACAAGTAGGTATGCAAATATTAATTCGGAACATTTAAATTGTGGTTAATAAAAATATAATTGGTGAGCATAACTGCAATGTCATGCAGGTATATTCGTAATCTGTTAAAAACATATGTGTTGTGTCCCGACAAGAATAATGAATGGTAACTTTTGGGATCCATTTATGGACCAACACTAAACGTATATTTCTATTGTATTATTATTAAGTAACTAGACTATGCATATTCATATACCTCTTATTATAAGCTTTATTTCGACCCATAAACTATTATTATGCGTTTTACCATTCTTGAGTTATACCCAGTATATTAATCACTACCTCCCTCATTCACAGCCACATCTGGCTAATTCTTGTACAAATGTTTCATATTTTATTGGCACGTTATGGTCTGTTTGATTGGTATATGAGCTCAGTATGTTTGAAATATAATGATTCATATTGCAGAGGGTGAGATTGGTGTTCTGGACTTAACTGGCTGGGCTAGGCGGAAAGTAGGGCTAATCACGACCCTAGGCTGCTCATACGGGTTTACGCGTCCTTGGTTCGGTCGATAAGTCACTGCTCCTTAATTGGCGGTCACAAGTTATAAAAATATGGCGATGTGGATACAAAAAGAAAGAAGTAGATAAAGTGTCACTAAATTATGTGAATAATGTATAAGAATATTCGTCTAAATTTGATCAAATAGTTCCAAAGTATTTGGGCGCTGAGTTGATGTGAGACATTAGAAACGAAAGAAACTACTTGTAAAATCTCAGGGAATGGATTTGAAGTAATAGATCCAACGTTTCGCCTGGCAATCTGGTCCAAATTTTTTCAAGGAAATATAATCAAACATCAAATTTATCAAATATAAATATGTATTAGAAGGGGTTTTGTGGAGATTGTAGAAATTTCAATAGTTTAGATCATGAGTCAATTGAAGCTAGGACCACCATGAAAAACCTAGAAGCACTGGACGACCGTTTCGCCCTGTTGTGGGATTCCTCAACAGTGCGCACCCACGACCCCGCCTCGCGGGATTCCAACCCAGTACCGACCAGTCTCGCGCGCGAGCGCTTAGCCACTAGACCACTGAGGCGGTATTAGTACTATTTGGATTTGCCCATGTATGTAGGCCTTCGGCTATTAGTCCTTCTTTGTAAGAATTAAAACCTTTTTGAAGGATTCTTGTACCACTGAAACAAATTGTATGACCCGATTCTATTGAGTGTAATGCTATTGCTGATTTGTTTACAAGTGGTTTTTTACATCATCTGAGGATTTAGGAATATGCTTTTGGCATAGTTTGTGTTCCTTCACTCTCATATTTAGTTGTCTTGATGTTCCACCCACATATGTAGCATTTTAGTGACCACATTTGATTTCATAAACAGTTTTGTTGTTCCTCTTTGTGTATTGAGTCTTTGACTTTTACTAGTTTGATCTTAGAGTATTGCTTGTTCGAAAGAATATCCTTATATTTTGTAGGGTTAGGATTCTTCTGTGTTAGCCCATCCTTTTTGTTTATCTCTTTTTTTATTATCTTTTTGTTCTTTGTTCTTAATTATCCTTGTTATAAAATCCCTCAAGTAATTATTCATCATCTCACTTCTACCTAAAGTTTTTGCTGATAATGTCGTTCATAACAACGCTCAAAACTCCACGACTAAACCATTCAGTTCAAATGACAGAACTCCATTAAAATTACTTTAAATCCATTCGCTGAGACTTTACAAATACATTCTACCTGCTTATTTGTCTATATGAGTAATATGTAGAATGAGATTGACAATGAATATAATCAGAATAAACTTAAATAATAAAAGTGCATAAACGTTGTGACCAAATAGTGGGTGAAGGCCACGGGAAACAGGATGAAACAGAAGATTTTAGTATGCATGAAATTGGTAGGAAAAGTCCGATTTCTATGGCCTCACCTATGGTTAGCTAACGGAGACGCACTAAGTTTTAAACTTTCAATGTAACTTCGTACGTGATACTGATTGCTAAGTTCTTGTCTAGCCAAATCAGCATAAAACATCAAATGGGTGAATACACATTGACTAATTAACTGTAGATATCTTAGTAGAATAGAACGTGAGTCACAGCTCAGGTAGGTTAATGTTAACGTGATGCTGGAAGACGGAAATTTCTATCCCGCAAGGAACATCTGTTCCTCTAAGATTACAAGTATGTCTTGGTCAGTCAGTGTGGTCTTCAGTGCTGTTAGAGGTATGAGGGCGGTTATCACTTCCCGGTTGCCAACACCGTGGAGGGGTTCTTCTGGAGGTACCTGAAAAGGAAATTGGATTAGAAGTGGTCTTAATGACCTGGGAGCGTGACCGCAGTGCCCAAGGGACAACTGTTTGAGGTCGGTCACACACGACCTTTATGTGGGCAATTTTTGTGTTAACTCCGTACTTGTTGAGACCTTACCGCCGGAGACGGATATCCGTGGGATAAAGCGAGGTGTGCACTTTTAGGGTCGACCTTTTCTAACTCCATCCCTCCTTGTGGGAAGGCAGCATCGCTGTCATGCTGGTTGTCTGAAGGAAACACCTTACTGCTGCCACACCTCTGTATAGTCAGCAGTACGACTTCGCCTTCGGACCTTGGGTTTGTTGCATTTAGTCTTACCGCTCTTCAACCGACCTTTCTGACGTGGTAGGACCTTGAGGAACAGTTGTTCCAGTCAGTATAGCGCAGTTGCGTCATCACGATAGACAAGCCCGACCACCACGTCAAGGTAGCAACAACGGTCGGGGTATGCCATGGTGGGGAGTGACAACACTAAACCTGGGTCCAGGGTATCTCGTCTACTACTTCCAACTACCTAGTATATTAGGCATTACACATTGAAAAGTTGCGTCAAAAATTAGAGAGGCGTTAAAGTATCAGTGATTTATTGTTTGGGAATTTCATCAACTTAAATTGTCTTGGATACTCACAAACTGTAGAGCTTCGCCGAAAACGTTGAAATCGGTCTACATTTGGTTATTTCAATCACATTCCGATTCTTTACTGACATATTATTCGTTTCCAGTTCAGAAGTCAAACTCTTATGTTCCTCACAAATGTGAATTAGTCTTGGACAACTGGTAGTTGTGGATTCAAAGTATTCATAAATACACTAGATTGTCGAAAGTGGTTGAAAAATATCTGTATCGGGAATAGGTAGCTGATAAGTCTAAGAAGTGATGATCTGTTCCCTCAAGCGTCACAAAGTCAGATTAACACGGTGGGGATAAATAGTTTCAGTGACACCATTCACTGCGTTGATCTTAAACGATAACTCTAAGTTATCTCTTATATGTCTCTGTTTGTTTAGTATAGAAATAACATTAATAAGAATAACCTAATAAGCACTTCTCAGTGCTATTTGTCTTCATATAGGAAGTGTAGTGTGGAATATTCGTGAAATTACAGTAGATAAAAATATGGTGGCATAAGACTTAGCATATAATCTTATATCGGTTAAACAAGTAGCATATCAAAATTTCTTTCAAACTACAAAAACAGACTTATAGGATTAGCACATTAGTCACAGAAGCTTTAGTTACCAATGGATAACGTTTTGAAGAATTCCCAGACAATTTTCTGCATTATTTATCAGCTTTTATTTTCATTATAAGATGCAAATATTCAAAGTCTAACAACATAATATTTACATATGTAATGCTTATCAGTCAATCAATAAATAATCTTTAAGTAGTTTTCAACGTAAGTCGGTAAAATGAGTTATTTGTAGTGTTAGGATCTTACTGTTATTATTGGAGTTGTCTGAATTTCGGTTTATTTTCATGCTGAACCACTAATTCGTACGTTTTTAAGTAAAGTTGGATAGTAGTTTGAAGTGGAATCAAGAACATGCGTTCCACCCGATTTAGGACTCGTTAGCTGGATGTAGCCTCATCCCAGGACTACAACTCAGTACCTTTTCACTTCAAACGCCGAAGTGTTACCCGCTCAGCTACTGGTTTGTGCAAAGCCAGGTAAGTTTTATTATTCATTTGTATATATTAAAGACTGGGAACTGATCAGTACTGAACTGATATTTCATTTTAATGTTCATCCCTCCAGTTGTCCAATGGTTAAACGCTCGCAGGGAGACCAGGAGTTCCGGAGTTCAATCTCTCGATAGGGTTTTGCATGAGCAGTACTGAGTTCCATAACAGTAAGAAACAATTGTCTGTTGCACCACAGTTCTCATCTGTACTCCAACTGAGGTCCGCTCGTGTAGTACACCGTCAATAAATTAAGTTACTGCAGAAACTCTTGTCATCACAACCACAACACTGTAGCAGTTTGGTCGTGTTTAACTGAAATTTGTAAACTCATATTTAAGTCATGCAACAAGTTGGAGTCAAACATCTGATGTATTCAATATTGGCTGCAATGATCGTTGTCAACGACTCTGTTGTTAAGAAAGTTGTGTTAATTTTTTTAAACAATCCAAACGAATGAAATAATGAGAAATATTTTACAAATCTACTAAATTTTAAACCAAACGCTTTTCACTGACTAAAGGGTAAAACATACTTGTTGAAAATCAAAGTGCAACACTTCACGCATATACGTTGGTACGCTAGTTAGAAATGTATATAAATTCCAATCTATGCCAATATTTACAACAATGAATGCCCAAACAGGGAGTGATGTCAAAATGGATTTTATTGGGATCTACATTTAAAATAATGTATAAAATTAATTTTGCATGACCTAATAAATTTTTTTTAATAGTTACCTAAAATGACATCAAAATGATAATATTGTTTACTTTATCATTCATTGTATCTTTCGAATATCGAATAACATATTATCAATTTTATAATTAGGTTACTCAATGTTTATACTGATTATGCATTATTGTATTGAAATACATAAAAACTGTTGATTCTATTGATTTCCTTAATAATTACTATACAACCCGATAGAGGAAGTTCTGCATGATCCAGCTGAGAAAAACAGAAGTTTATCCAACAATCTAATAGGTTACTCATAATTCTAATTTCTTGAAGCAAATATTATACCTGTATAGTATCATGTAAACCGATTGTAAAATATTATTAGACAAATTTCACAAGTTCTCGTCGTCTTTGAATAGTATAGACACCCTATACAGTTTTATGTACAAAGAGCCAATAAATAAATGTATCAGTTTAGTGAAGTAGTTTATAGAGTAAACTGTTTTTGTTGATTAGTTTTTGGGCTTCTTATGAACTTTAAGTGAAATAATCAACAATCTAATTAATGCTAATCAATCAACCAAATCCAGTGCGTATGGGTGATGATATTGTAACCTTTTGGTGTTCGAGCAATAGCTTCACGGTTTTATGATGGTCATCTCCAATATATAGTGACTATCATGCAACTGAAACTTCAGTGAATAAACAACAAGGTGAAACATTTTTAAATACAAATTTATACACCTACTAGTGTCACTCTGACATCTCGAGATCAACCACTGTAAAAACTGTTAAACTAATACTACAAGATACATCATTATTTTGTGTGTGCTCAAATTAGAAAAGTGGATATGGAAAATATTTGTGAACTTCGAACAAAATTATCTAGGTTCGACCTGCTATGAGATCCGTGTGATGTTCAGCCTTCACAGTAAGACAAAGATGTGGTGTGCTTATATAATCAGATTAAGATTATGTCAACTAGGGTTTCTTCCAACTACCAACATTCAACAAATTCTTGAGCACAGCAAGATTTCAACAACTTATTCAAACAGTAAGCGATTCCATAAACATGTATCTGGTCATCTAAACTTACCTGAAGATATAATTATTTTTCAGAAATTGGTGTTTGCAATACAGAAAATTTAGACAACTTTGACAAGTCATGAAGTAAATCTCAAAACATAGAATTAAGAGCTTTTATTCAATGCCTGATTAAACTATCTTCCTCCTAGCTATTATCCACTGAGTTGTTTAGTATTGGGTTTTTCCATTTAAAAGGACTACATATTGAAAGTATGATATGCAGTTCAAGATAATAATTTGTAGCATTGAATGGAACTATCTGTAATTCAAGTATATGATACAAGAACGTCAATCTGAGTTGTGAACTGTTAAACCACCAAATACTGAGTATTAATTTTACTTTAAGTGAGTAGATTGTTTACTTCTTTTTACCTTATGCTATTAATGTTAATAAACAATTTAATTGGTCTGTAGCATATAGTACCATTACACATTTACATAATTCATCCTAGCTTTTCAACAGACTTAGTAACTCAGGCAACATGTGACTAATGCGTTACGTTTACTATCACAATAACTCAAGTCTTTCCATGCGAAATTGTGACCAGTGAATATGCCTCTTATATTTATGTCATGTAATTCTACTGTTGTGCATCTTATTGTATTTGTGTGTTTGCGCATTTATTATTTTATCCAATAGCCGTCTCGATGCACTACGCATTATGTATTTTGAAGTATACTGACACCTGCAACTGATGATATTTGGAGTTGGCACGTTCAGACTCACCGCTTCTCACCTTACTGTCCATCTGAGTAAACGAGTGCCTGAAGTAAATTCGTCTTATTTAATTGGTATTTGGCTTTTATTACAGCCGTCTCCCAAGCTTAAGTAAAATATACAAAACCAAACGTAGGATCTATATTCATGGTAAATTCATCGTTTGTTCTTCCATCATTCCTAATGAAATCAATGTCTCAGTAAGTTAAACTAAGTGGGTTCCATTACATTATTGACCGTAAGTGGTTTTTAATTTAAGCATGACAATATTATGTAAATTAACTGATTTTTAATTCGATTCAATTTACAATACACTACTTACCTTTCCTTGGCTGTTTTTCATTATAACTGGGCAGGTTGATTCTAAATAAGTCTTTTCTTTCATAGATATTCTTGGATTTAATTTAGGTTCATCATATACAAACATGAACCATATCATACAATAAACAAAGCTGACTGCACCTTTTATGTTATAAGAAAGTTTAAAAATAGGCAAACATATGAATGTTTAAAAGCACCAGTTTGTTGCTAGATCAACTGATCAAATAAATTTATATTTGATGTTGGATATTCGAAGCAGATTGGGAAGTAGTCTGTCGACCCAGACTCCGTGTGTCTTAATTCTCGTCAACTAAGTGTATGTCTACGACTTTCAGTGTGGCTACATGTCTAGGTGACTTGGAATCGCTTGCAACGTAATCCATAGAACTTGATCAGTATTAAGAACTGGACAAACACAACATCGGTTACTATTCAGTAGTTATCAATATAGATATCTCAGTTTTGTACGAAGTTTCTCACGCCTTGAGTGGCTCAGTAGCAAAGTCTTTGGTTGCAAACGTGGGTGACGAGGATTCATATCCGAAGAATGACATAAATCTCATGATTACGGATACATATCGCTGAACAATTTCAGCTAGTACAAAACGTATGTTCAGGGCTTTCTGTCAAATGCCTTCAACCACCTACCAAGTGTATTTTGCGCCCCTCATCACTTAAGAAACCGATGTTCCCACAGCGAATTAAGTGCGTTTGATTGTCCATCTTAGTCAGATAAGCATAACTCATTTATTCGGAAAACAGATAAACCTTTATGCTTGAGCATAATAATTATCACACGAACAATAACCTTTAGTATGTTGTTTGCCCCACTGCAGTATCCAACTTCTATTGTTCCTGTATAATGATTCATCGTTATGGTATGCTATTAGCCGTAGTAAGATGAAGGAGAGCTATGTGTTCACAAGTGGCTTGGGATACTCTAGTAACAACAAGCATTAAAGGCAGATATGAACAGAATTACTTAGGATATGACCACAAAAAGAACATCAACAGTGAGAGAGTGCACAAAGGTAGAATTATAGAGATATTTAAATTAGTAAGTGAAACTTAATTTTAGCAATTATGTACGAGTTCATCCGACGAAAAGTGAATGTCCGGCGCTTTAACCGGATCCAAACCAATGGTACACATGGGCTCCAGTATCCTGAAGGAACAAACGGCGTATGAACCAATCGTTGGTCACCGGCTACCATGGGACTGCATCTCCTCACGATGCTCCACTGCCTTGTGGATCAGACCTTTAGGTCAAAGGCTCGGGGTGTGGCCCCTAAGAAAACCACCTGCTTCGGTTTGGGCACCCGGGCAATATCACAGCCCACACACACAAATATGGTGTGGCGCATATATATTTGGTGCCCTCTTGTACCAATATTTATGTGTTCAAACAAATAAATAATAAAAATTTCATTCGTTAAGTGTTGAAGCACAATTATCATTTCAAAACTAATAATACTAAGAGGTAGTTTAAATTTCTGAAGAGATAAAGACATCAAGGAAATAGAATCATAAAACTTAAATCATCGAATCACATTTCGATATTGAGATGTAAATAAGTGCTTGTTTTCAATTAAGGGTATAGTCAAATTCATATTTAGGAATTTTTTTGCACTATTAAAAATTTCTACGTATTTACTAAATTAAGTGTTGTCAGTTTAAAAGCTTTCTCCCAATATTTCACAAGTTTAAGATTGAAATTATCCTGATTTCAAATTTGAAAAAATGATATTTATTAAATAGTCAAGCTGCAGTTTTAAGTAGAATGGAAACGTATATTAATATGCAAATAAATAATCTCTTTGCATCGAATTACTGGACAAATAACATAATACCCTCAATATTCAAAATGTTTAACTGGGATCCATAGCTAACAAAGTCATTCCTAAGTAAGCTCTTAATTTCCTATTGATGATAGTGTAAATGTGGTTCTTTAGTTTTATAATTGTGTTTTTAACTATTCGATCATATGTTAAAAGACAAGTTTACGTAATTTGACTTCACCATTCAATTAGTACTATGATCCATCAAGTGATAAGTGTGGCGTGATATTTAAAATGTAAATGCGTATTTTGTTAATTAGTAGCATCTCAAATTTAATTTGTACAAAAATGATTGACTCACCATAGAAGTAGAAAACTAGTGACCATCCCAATGATGTCTGACACAAAGCACCAGTAATAGGCATTGTAATAGCACTACCTACATGAAGTCCTATCATAATATTCAATGTAAAACAATATAGTCAGACTGATTCCAATAATGAAATTATAAATCTGTAGTACGGGACAAGACTAAAATCTCTTTGGTACATTACTAAGAGATATAATGTAAAAAAAACCTTTATGATAAACGTTTTAACTGAAGTGAATACATGGTTATACAAAGCTTATACATATATACAGTTACTGATAAAATTCCAAATCTATATGTTTGGAACCATAGACTAAAGACAATAAAACAAAATCAAACAGGAAGTTTATTACGGATGCTACCTGCATAAGCAAATCCAATTAAGAGTCCACGCTCATTTGGAGGTGCCCAAGCAGCCCAAAGTTGATAGAATCCAGGAAACCAACTTGCCTAAAACACCAATAAATAACTTATGTTTAAAAATATAACTAGTGAATAACAAGTTCCAAACACTGGTCATTAAAAAACTAACGAAATGATATCGTCACTTGAACAGAACAGGGATGAAGCATGGATAATTTTTCCATACTTATTTTAAACTAGCAAAAGATAGTTTAGCTAGATATCAACAATTAAAACTGGTAGTCGATGAAATAAAAGTTTCGCTAGTTCATATTTCAATCTATTCCACACGCTGGACCAGTCAGAATAAATTTTAATTGCCTTTCTCGTCCAATTCTGGGTTTCTTAAACACAAAAACATGTAAAGTCAGTTTGGGCACCCGGGCAGTATCACAGCCCACACACAAATTGATGAACTCTTTATGCCTATGGAAATTACCTTTCTCGCTTTGAAAAACAAACAATTGATTCAGATTATTATCATTACAATTATTGTCATTATTAATACTATTATTATTATTACTACTATTATTGTAATTGTTATTATTATTATTATTATTTCCCACATTATTCACCCTCTTTCATACTTACACAGCGGCTCGGCTTTGGTGGAAATCCGACTGTATCTAAACGTTCTCGAGTCACTGTCCGGTTGAAAGTTGTATGTTACCATCGAATGTGAGTACTGAAGCAGTTTTTCTGAAACCACGTGGGCCATTCAAACTGGCTGCCTTCAACGTTCGCACACTTATGCAGGTTGGTCAACAGATAGGGCTGGCCATGTCTTTGGAAAGTCTTAATATTGATGTTTGTTGTCTATCCGAGACCCGTATTCAAGACTCTAGCGAAGTACTACAAATTCGATCTCCATCTGTCGCTTCGAAAAGCTTGTTTCACGTGCGCTTATCCGGGGACCATGTGGCATCTTCGTCTGGTCTTGCTGGCGTTGGTGTCGCACTAAGCGCTAGAGCTGAGGCAGCACTAGTCGATTGGATCCCCATTAACAGTCGGTTATGTGCTGTTAGATTAGAAAGTTCCATCAAAGTGAGAAGAAATGGGCGTGAGAAACGATGTCTTTTCGTCATCTCCGCCTATGCCCCGACAGATTGCAGCCCGGATGCAGTCAAGGATGAGTTTTACCACCAATTACCTGTTCTTCTCCAGAAAGAGCGTTCGAAAGATATTGTAGTACTGGCTGGAGACTTGAATGCTCAGGTCGGGCGTCTAGGCACAGAAGAGAGTCGTTCAGGTGGCCGATGGGGACTCGTTGGTCGCAGGTCAGATAACGGGGACCGTCTACTGCAACTGTGCACAGACCACAACCTGTTTCTGGCTAGCACTAACTTTCGGCACAGTCATCGACGATGTGCCACCTGGCGTCCTCCTTCTGCATCTCAAGCCTGGACTCAGATTGATCACATCGCGATCAGCTACCGCTGGCGTGGTTGTGTACAAGACTGCCGCTCCTTTTGGAGTACCTATCTGGACTCTGACCATGCCTTGGTCTGCGCCAATCTTGCCTTACTTTTCAGTGGCCAACGAAGTGATCACCACCAAAAGATTGATGTTAGCAAGCTGGTTGCAACTTCTGTTGCAAATAAGTATCGAACCGAGCTAGCCTCTAGGCTAGCTACCACTCCACCGAAAAGTATAGATGAGCATTGGTTGCAATTGCATGACGCCATGAAAATGGCGGGAACAGTCAGTTGTGGGTTTGCGAAACGTCCCGCTTTTAAGCACTGGGTTCCTTCTGGTTCCTTACAACTCATTGAAGCCCTTCGGTCTACTCCGGGTGACCGTGAGTTTGACCATAAACGAAGGATGTTATGTAAGGAAATCGGGCAAAGCTTGCGTAAGGACCGAGAAGCCTGGTAGTCGAAGCGTGCTAATGAGCTGGAAGCAGCAGCTGCATCTGGTAACTACCGGAAGCTCTTCCAGCTCATCCGAGCCACTGGCAGCAAGAAGTCTGGTGTGAGTGAAACAATCTGCGAGGATGATGGGATGCCAATCACTAACATCCATCGACGTCTTGGACGGTGGGCAGAATTTTTCGAAGGGCAGTTCGACTGGCCTGCTGCTCCGGCAACATCAGTCAGACTATCCTGCCCTCCATGGCCGGTGACGACTGATCCACCAAATGAGGTGGAAGTCCGCAAGGAACTCCAACTCTTGAAGTGTTACAAATCACCTGGCCCAGATGACTTACCTCCGGCTCTTTTTAAAGATTGTGGTGACTTTTTGACTAAGGAATTGACGACGTTGTTTACAAAGGTTTGGGAACTAGAGAGTGTGCCAACGTCATGGAATGAGTCGATAGTTGTCCCTATCTTTAATAAGGGTTCACGTCGTTCCTGTAACAACTATCGGGGGATAAGTCTACTTCCGATTGCGTCCAAGCTATTGGCTTCCGTCATACTTCGTAGGTTGTTCAAAACCCGAGAAAGATTGACTCGCGAGGAGCAGGCTGGGTTTCGTTCTGGTCGAGGATGTATTGATCATATCTTCACCCTCCGCCAAATGTTAGAATACGCCATACTTATCAAAGGCCAACAATCGTAGCGTTTCGTGACATCAGGGCTGCCTTCGATTCGTTGGACAGAACTGTTCTCTGGGATTATCTTTTAAAGAAGGGTGTGCCTGAGAAGCATATTAACATCCTCAAAGCCCTATATAAAAACACCTCAGGCAGAGTGAGGGCATACAACCACCTCTCTCCATTGTTCCATTCGAGTAGTGGGGTTAGGCAGGGTTGCCCAATCTCACCATTCCTCTTCAACTTTGCCATCGATGACATTCTGGAAACAGCTCTGATGAATGTAAGTAATGGTGGTGTGGATCTGTTGCCTGGAGAAAGACTTCTCTACCTTGAGTATGCGGACGATATTGTCTTACTGTGCGATAATGCCCAAGGCATGCAATCCGCACTTAATCAGTTGGCAATCAGTGTCCGTAGGTATGGTATGTGCTTTGCACCTTCGAAGTGCAAAGTACTTCTACAAGACTGGCAGGATTCCAATCCTGTACTCACCCTGGATGGTGAGCAGATAGACGTAGTCGAGAAGTTCGTGTATCTGGGTAGCTGTATAAGTGCTGGTGGAGATGTGAGTGATGAGATCAATGCACGAATAGTGAAAGCCAGAGCGGCTTATGCCAATCTGGGCCATCTATGGCGCCTTCGTGATGTTAGTCTGGCCGTAAAAGGTCGGATCTACAACGCGTCGGTGAGAGCAGTTTTGCTCTATGCTTGTGAAACCTGGCCTCTCCGAGTTGAGGACGTTAGACGACTCTCTGTGTTCGATCATCGCTGTCTCCGAAGGATTGCTGACATTCAGTGGCAATACCATGTTAGTAATGCAGAGGTTCGGAATCGTGTGTTCGGGCACAGTGATGATAATTCAATTGGTGTCACCATCTTGAAACACTGACTTCGGTGGCTTGGACATGTTCTCCGAATGTCGTCCCAGAGAATTCCACGTCGTGCATTATTTGCCGACTCTGGGACTGGTTGGAAGAAGCGGAGAGGTGGTCAGTGCATGACATGGTGTCGTGGCATGAAAGAAAGCTGCAAAGGACTGGCTTGTGTTGGTCCTTCACGAATCCCTGGTTGGGGTCTGAGAGATGGTGCTACACAGTGGCTAGAGACGTTATCATATATGGCTCAGAATAGAAGCCAGTGGCGATCCTGCTGTAACCTTCTTTTACTTTCTTCATAAAAAGTGGTTCTGTCTCCCTTACCTGAAAGATTTCTTCCGATTGTACCTTTGCGTTCCCTGATTACTAGCACATTACCTTACACCAATCTCTTCGTTATTGTTCTCTTTTTTTTGTTGCGCTCCTTAGCTTTTTTTTTCTTTCTTTGTATTCCTCTCGAATTTTCATTGTTTTGTGTGGCGCATATATATTGGCGCTCTCCTGTACCAATATTCATGTGTCCAAATAAATAATAAAGTCATATCCTTAAAACAACAGTTCTTCACAGTTACAGGTTATATCATCTATTATTCCTATGGCTGATTAAGAACTGAGAGATTTTGATGTCAGTAGGTGTCAATACTAAGATTTGACTTGACAATTTCGAATAAATTGAGCATTGGGAAGATTATAAATAAAATAATATATTTGAATATCCCAATGAGTAGGAAAGTTAGGTGAATCACGAAGCGTCAGAAAATCCAATTTTCCTATTCATTAGGATATTACAAATATATTATTTTATTTGTGATGTTAGTAGTTACTTAATGACCATTCGTGTTGATCGGTGTAGTATGTCTGGTATCATTATATCAGTCCATTATATTTTGTGGTTAAATATTTTATTGCCCCATAAACATTGTAAAAGATGACGAAACCAATAAATTAGAACATCTTTATTGTTTTATCCAGTGTAATATCCTCACTGGGGATTCATTTATCCGACCTCGGGTCAGACGATATGCCATATCTTGTGCTACTACTCAACTGCTAAAAGCGAAGTAGGTGGAGGGGAAGGTACAAATTCACGACACAACACATGAAAGCCGGACAGTTTAAACATCGAGTCATCGCCTAGTGAGCTTTTATTAAAACCAAAGCTGTTGTTTTTGGAAACGCGTTAGCTTAAATCGTGATTGTTCTCGTTTTTATAAATTCGTACTTTTCATGGAGGTAATTTTTGTAACTGGTTTAAAAATGACTGTAAATCACATAAACATGGAATTTTGATCTGATTCAGCCCAATGATAATGCAGTGTAACCCAGTAATGTGGCACAAGTAGGGATACTTGATATGGAGAGCCAATCAGAAGTAGCAAAATGTCAATCAATGGCAAACGGATGTGACCTAAAGGTCAAGTGCATTTCATTACCGTCAAATTCCTAAGGATAGACTGGTATATATATGGCTGGGTTTTGTGCATTTTATTCGGTAGTCCAATACACTTTCTCATTCAAGTAGTCAATTGGGAGTTGGCGCGTAGCATACCATGTATCAAGTGAGATTTCGGAACACTGCACATCACAACAATACTAGGGGTTCTAAGCAAAGATGGATAATGGCTATCAGTGGAATCCAGGAAGCGCATTTCGTCCTATAAGAGACTGATCAAGCAACCTGTACCAAGTGACTTTAAACTTCACCCCATTGCACAAACAAGTGGCTATCAGGACTGAGTAGCTAAGTGGATAATGTGATGGCGTTTGAGGCAAACGGTACTGGGTTCGAATTCCAGAATGAACATCAAGTCTGAGATGCAGGTACATCCGGCTGACGACTCCCGAATAGGACGATACGCGCGTCCTGGATTCTACTACCAGCCACTATCCATAATTGTTTAGAATGCTTGTGAGTTAAGGCAATATCGAGCTAATACTCGCAATACGCACATACGCCAATAAGATACTGATGAATTGTAGTCCTAAACAACAATGGGAAGATTCAAGCAATCAATACCAAGTGAATTTAATACTAGAGGTTGCATCACACTTCTTATATGAGAGCTAATTATATTATTAAACAGCAGAAACCTGAGTATTCGGAGAACACTTCAAACCCACAATCTATCAGTTGAAGTGAAAGCCTTTTAAACGAAACAACGACCATTCCATATTATATTAATTTAAGACTAATCAGTAGAGCCCATCAACTGCACTATGTCGGAACAGCCACAGGGCCTTCATATCTCATGATTAGCATCGTAACACACAGTCGACTCATGATGTAATGCAACTACGACATTATCTCACTAGTGAGGGTCTTTTTAAATTTCAGCTTGCCCGTTTACCTCCTATTACAAAGTAATAGAATTTCATCAGCTTCATGTGAGCGAATAATCATTGTTTATTTATTTTTGGATCACATCTACTGTGAGATTACAGATACTACTTGGATTCTCACATTGGAGTAGATGAAACTGGTTAAAACCCAATAATAAAATTTCAACCTAGAATCTTAATACAAATCTTATAGCTGATGTTTCCAATCAAAAGTATCAGAGATTTAAAGAAATAGGCATAGTAAGACCTACGGATGTTAATCCTGTAAGTACTCGTACGGCACAAAATAAATACAGAGACCTTATCGCTACCACTGGAACAAGTATTGTTGATGTGCTCATAAGAATTAGGGATGTAAGCAGGACTGAGCGAACGCTGAACTTTTGAATAAGGATGCCTGCAGGTATCTGCCCAAGAAAATAACCCCAGAAAATAACTCCCAGAAGAACTCCCCAATTTGAGCGATCCCAGTCAAACGGGCCATCTATCACAGTCTAAAATTTTAGAATAGTGAGAAAAATAATCAATCACCTCAAATTTTGCGTTGATCATTGTAAATCAAGGATAAAACAAGAAGAAATACAGGATAGCAACTTGATGGTGGAAAAATTCCACAAAACTTACTAAATTGATATGGCATTAGTTTCTAAATATTAAATACAAAACGGCATAACATTAGCACAGAAACGTTTACTGCCTGAAATGAAAAATGTTTGGATGAAAGGGCTTCCAAATTTGTAGAAGAACCAATAGAAAACTGTAGCAGTACTGACAATAACTTTGCATTTTGAGTTCTACGTGATGCATTGAATTATTTGGTAGTGTAATTTTTAAAAAAAACTGTCAACGATATGCAGGCGCGCATTGAGGGTGTACATTTAACCCAATAATCCACCTCCTGTGAAAAACAAACCAATTTTTGTAATTTCACTTTAAATTTAGTAGAACTGTTAAGATAGCTTGAGCAAACTTTTTTCCTAATTATTTTATATACTATTTCCAGAGCATTTCAGCGATCAACTGTGCACGTAATCTGAAACTGGACTTGTAGCTATTGTAAGACAGAAGCAAATTTGCTAGTAACAGCACATTTATTGCCATTTTCAGTAGATCTTCTAAAGCCCCCAAATTCCCTGGTACGGCCGAGAGTGGGGAGAGTCCAGTCTCTCTCCCTCTCGAAATGCTCTCACATGCCCACGAGTATAAAGTCTCTACCTGGAAAGTCCTACTCATTGCCTTCTCGTGGCCGGGGTGTTGTTTACGAAATTGAGAGGACGAAGAGCGAATGTCCGGCGCTTTAACCGGGTCGGTAGACATGGAGAGTCCACCTAGGGGAGTTAGAAAACCCTCATTCCAAACCCATGATGCACATGGGCTCCAGTATGCTGAGGAAACAAATGGCGTATGAACCAATCGTTGGTCACCGGTTACCATGGGACTGCATCTCCTTACAATGCTCCACTGCCTTGTGGATCAGACCTTCAGGTCGAAGGCTTCGGGTGTGGTCCGCTAAGAAAACCACCAGCTTCGGTTTGGGAACCCGGGCAGTATCACAGCATTCACATATATCAAATGAGACCTGTGTGGCGCATATGTACTTGGTGCCTCCTTGTACCAATATCTGTCTGTTAAAATAAATAAATAAGATCTAAAACTACGATGTATTTGGCAAAGTATATTTTCGAGATCAGAACCACTACGCTGCAAAGTGAGTAAAATTTAAAGGCTTAAAGCACGTCCATACATTTTATTGAAGATACTTAAAATACTAACATGTGTATCTTTGTGAATATTATTGCCAAAAAAAAATTTACATGGAACAGTGGTTGTTCAAAACCAGTTATACTATAATAACTACGTAGACTCTTAGTAAAAGTTAGGATAATCACGACTATCTTCGATTATTCTTCTTCCACTAATGTCTTATCTCATGGCTCTCCTCACAACATTTTTATGTATGGTAACTTAAAAGGATGCAATTTGGAGTGATGGTATTTTTTCCATGCATTCCACTAGAACCTTAACAATATTAGGCATCAAACTCAATTATCCATTTCGACTGTTGGCATTCGCAGACAATGTTGTATAAACTACTTCGTTCTTTACTTACATGTCAATTCTCACTTACTCAGTGTCACAAAACAGTGCGGACGTTGGAGTAATTTGCCGATTTTAGTTAAATAAAGTATAGTAGTACGAAGGTTTGTGAAAAACCTCGACGGTTTTGGAACGTAATTCTTTACAAGACATTCCCAACCACCGTTATGATACAGTATCGCACATGATACTGATACACAAAGCTTTTCTAAAAGCAAACGTAGCCACGTAGAATTTTGTATAAAGGGCACTCATTCAGGGTTTCAACTTTAAATAGGATGGAAAGATAAGGGTGGGGGATTCAAGTGATGTAATATCAAGTTGTAAGACTAATAAGCAAATTAAGGATGACAGAATGTCTGAATTCTGAGTTAATCACTGAATAATCCACTGACTCTGAATAACAGTATATACTACTAACTGTTAATATCATAGGGCTCCTGACTAAAACGCTTATTGTTAATAAGATGACCAGAGCTCCCACGTTTGGGGAAATTTCGGGGAAATCCCTAAAAGCCAAATGACCCTGACCAGGGCTAAAGGGGAATTTTGGGGTTTTAGTGCCATTTCCCCAAAGTTTACCATAGCGGCTTCCTCAAAATGGGTCAAATTTCCCCAAAGTTGGGAGCTCGGGGATTTAAGTCAGAAGTAATTGATCTCTTGAGTTATTGTAGGTTTCCTAGCTACTGTTTATAAAGTGATTAGACCAGCGTCGTTGGATCTACAATAATTCCTTTTTATCAGTAAACGATCGTTCTTACACTCGAGTGTAAGAAAAACATGCTGAATCCTACTCCATCATAAAATATAGGATCTGTGAAGGCTTTCTGTTCAAACTAATGTAAACTGAATAAATATTCGAATACCTTTGTTTCATTGAATGACTCTATACTACAACCAGATGAATTCTGAACAACTCGAATAGGATATTTATTACTTGTACTGTTGTTATCACGTATAGTGCAGCGACTTGTCATGCATAAGATTGCTATGCTTAAATTTACTCTTTGAGCCAGCATGTTGATTGTTCCAAGACACAAAACCAGAGACAAAATAACTCTTTCAGGTAAGTATTTCATTTCTCTAAGAACGGAATCGCATGATAACTTTAGTTAAGCGCTAAACCTAATCCCAATATTCAATATCTTCTTCAAGAGCTTGTATGAACTAATTGAATTTTGAGCTCTTTTCTTGCTGTTTCGGTTTGCATTCGAGTATTCCATGGTGTCGAATAGACGGTAGTCTATCCTTCCGACTGGACAAACTTTAGTCAGTTTGGTTGTTATTTGTGGATTTGTAGTTTGGTTGAATTTGGCTTAGGGCACAAGGATTTCGGGAATCCAGCAGATAGTAGGTCGATCGGTTTAATGAGACTATAGTTAAGTGATAATTTGGGTGCTGACATAGAACGGTTATTTCAAGCATAACAAATGAAATAATTTATTGTTAATGTGTACGAAGATGGAATGGAAAGTATAATAGTTGAAATGAAGTTGATAATAAGCGAGATAGGAAGTAGTTACTGGAGTGTGATGATAGTTATAATGATAAGTTACGAGACGTTGATCAGAAACACCCGGTCGAAGAAGAAGAAGATGGTAAATGATGGTTGAGTATGTGCTTCTCAAGTCTCCCCTCAAAGCTGTCCACTAAGGAGGCTGTGGTCTCTTCGGCCAGGAGAGCATTCCGAATGGGGGATTTCTTAGTGTGAGTAACCTTAGTGTAGTAAACACAGAGAGCTTGAGCACTATCTCAGATGCATGAGGGATTCATCCAAAGTAAACGAAACTCCTCAACTTATGCATGGACAACTTGACGCATTCACTACATAGATGTTCCTGACTCTGTAAAAGTACCCACGACACCAGATCAAAGTCCACATTGTTGTTGTGTCTCTCCTTATTATAAGTTATAACTCTATTAGGCCGAGTACATAGATGAAAAAAACAAGTTGATGATAGGTGAGAAACACAAATCCTACGAAAAAACTCCAACATTCGATACAGTTTTCAGTGAGTTATAGAACAAGACAAGATGGTACGGTGATGACATACAACATATTAGACATGAGAGCAAAGTTTAGAGCAAGTGTTAGCTACTATATGCAGAAATCATCGGATTGTTGAAGTAAACAGTGCAGTTAGACAGGTGATAAGTGAATGCATGAAGTGTATACTTATGAAAGTCACATTGGGTCAGGAGGTGATGTGGTCATTTTATGAGTGTCGGGCACGGGAAGGTTTGTTCTGTTTTTCCTCTGTGAGAATCACCGCTAACATTTCGTCGAGGAAGAACTGATGGAAAAGTGTAAGTGAACACTTACGTATCTTTACGTATCTCGCACACCTGAAAGTAGTTTTCAGATGAGTGGCGACGCTTTAATAATTGTTTTAATACGTTTTATAGTAACGAGAGGGACTTTAAAAGAAGTCTTTAATGACAGTAGAACAAACTTTGTTGAAACAACTTTGGAATTATGAAACACTATGAGTTTATGGGACAAATATAGGATGAATGACATGATGGCATTTCAACCTCCCACTAGCTAGTCAAAGAGACAGGATTTATGGAAGATTGATACTTTTTGTCTGTAGTATCCTACTAGTCGTTTCTAACGAAAAAGCATTGCATAGTGATAGCTTGATAACCTACTTTTGGGTGGGAGAGATGACTAAGCTTTCACATCTAACAACCTGCTCTGATAAGAGGTTGAGATGGTATATGGATGGAGTGAATTACTGCGGATAGGTATTCAAAACGGCGAAGATAGGTGGACTGCCTAGCCAATACGCCATGGTGTTTGTGAATGAGAAATTATGTTCCGTTACTGGAACATACATTACTTCTTAAACATAATAAGTCAAGGAAAAGTGAGGCAGTGCTTGTGGCTAAGGACTTAACTACTGGCTAAATATGGCCAGCAGGACCGGTTGGTACATATGAGAAAAATAATGATGGTCTAATAAGAACAGCCATGGTACGTATGAAAGAGTTTTCTGTAAGAAGAGATTTGAGAAGGCTTTGTCATCTGGAGGGAGCAAGATAGCCACAGATTGTAGGCTAGGTTTATCGGTTTTCAGAAGTCTTGTTGTAAGTCTTGCACATTCCAATCTCATGGGCTAGTTACCTAAAACTCTTTTATTCCTTGTAAATCCAACCATTGTACTTATTACGGAAACGTGGTGTAATTCATCTATATCCGATCATTCCTTGAATGTAGATAACTACGTTTTCTTTAGAACCGATAGATGTTATGGAATAGGAGGCGGTACAATTATCTATGTTCGTTCAGACATTCAATCGTGCAAATTTGAGGATAAATCCCTTGATGCTATAGAAGACTCCACTTGGGTTACTGTAAACTGTGGATCCCAAAATTATTTACTGGTGGGATGCATATACAGACCACCTCATGCGGATACTAAGTTTGACAGATTACTAACAAACATATTTTCCATTGCTTCGCATCAACCTCATACTTTTAAAATCATCGGAGGTGATTTTAATCTGCCAAAAATTACATGGGGCTTGACTCCGGTGCCAGGTCGATATAACAAGCTAGTTGAAACATTAGAAATTTGTGGATGGGTTCAACAGGTCCGAAAACCAACCAGGGGGAATAATACACTTGATTTAATGTTCACAATCAACATAGACTCTATCTCAGTGCATACCAGTCATGAGTTTTTTATGAGTGACCATAGAGTTGTATTGAGCATTATTCACTCTTTAAACGCCATACAATTGAACTCTAAAGCTTCAATGACGTACCAGAGCAGATATTTTGATCAACAAACATGGAAACGGACTGAAACTCTCATTCGATGTTTACCATGGGAAACTTATTTTACCTCAAATAATGTTGACATTGCGCTTTCCAATCTATATCACAACCTAATATATTGTCTTGACTGCACTGCTCCAGTTACTGGCCATGTGGCTTATAATGCTAATAGGGGCCAAAATACTTTTAAAAGAAAGCTGAGGAAATTAAAATACCGCTACTATGAGCAGAATGATGTGTATGCACTTCAGAGTATACTTAAATTAATCGACAGAAATGCTTCATCTAAACATAAGTATTTCATGAATATAGAAAATAAAGCTCTACGTAGTAAAAGCCCAGAATTATCAATACTTCGACTTTTTAAATCCCGTGTAAAGTCAAATTCCCTTGGCACGACCAAATTCTTCATAGTTAACGGAAGCATTGTTAACGACCCGAATACTATATGCGAACAATTCAGCAAGCACTTCTCGCAGTGCTACAAGACTAGAACTGAAAGCTCCATCATTTCATTTCCAATGCTAACATCCAGACATCTGTCGAAAATTGATTTCACACCCTCCAACATCAAGCAGGCCATAACTGCCCTGAAAAAGTCTTATGATGGCGGACCTGACGGGATACCTACATCATTTGTAAAATATGGAAGTAAAGAATTTCCACTATTTTGTTTGAAACTTTTCAATCTATCTATGGAATATGGGACCTATCCATCTGTATGGAAAACATCCCTTATCACCCCTAGATTCAAAACAGGACCACGTAGTGATATTATTAACTATAGGCCAATTAATTTGACATCCGTGCTCTCAAGAACCATGGAAAAAATCATCCACAAACAGCTACTATCATTTTTACTTTCAGCTAGTCTGATCAGCCCAACCCAACACGGGTTCATGACTAAACGCTCATGTTTCACATCGCACCTGGAGTTTTTTGATCAAATTACCCAGAGAAGAGATGTTGGTCAGTCAGTGATAATTCTTTACTTCGATTTTAGTAAAGCTTTCGACAGTGTCTCACACAAACTTCTTCTTTTAAAACTCTCTTCATTTGGCATACAGAATCCCCTTTTATCTTGGCTCAAATCTTTTTTAGAAGAACGTAGCCAAATCGTTCGCTTTGGATCTTGCTACTCTAAACCTGTAAATGTAACAAGTGGGGTTATACAAGGAAGTGTGGTTGGTCCATTGCTCTTTCTCCTTTTTATCAATGATGTGTGTTCCCTCTTTCAGTATGGTAAGCCTTTCCTTTTTGCTGATGACCTGAAAGTAGTTTATTCATTCTCTTCTCCCACGAAAGAAAGCTATATTTCTGCGGTAATCCAGGAGGAAACAAACAAGTTGTACGAATGGACTATTTCGTGGAATATGCCACTTAATGTTGACAAAAGCGGATTTATTCACATTGGTCGCTGTCTTAACTTAAATCTGACTGTACAGACACATACACTCAAACCTCTCAACACCGTTCGTGACCTGGGTTTAAGAAATAGCAACAGTCTGAACTTTTCTGAGCACATTATATCTCAAGTATCCAAAGCTAGAAAGCTCATTGGATTGATAATGATAAACATCAATAATATTGAATCCAGATTGTTATTGTACAGAAAATGTGTCTTACCCATTCTTGAATATGGTATTTTAGTTTACAGTAATTGCAGGCATAATGACCTGATTAAAATTGAAGGTGTTCAAAGAAAGTTGACCAAAGCTGTTCTGGTGTATTCCGATAACAAAGACTATCACCAACAATGTCAACAACTCAACTGAGAACCTCTTTGGATCAGACGTATCAAATTAAATCTTGTCTTTATCTACCGGCTTATTAACGGTATTTTCTACTCATCGGTATCTACCCCTTCATACCTTATAATATCATCCCACAATCTACGCAATAAGGAGAACATTCTAGCGATTCCAAGAACCCACACAAACTTACGTCAGAATTTTTTCCTTATTCGCTATTCAACCATGTGGAACAGACTGCCAGTGAACCTCCGTTGCAGTGAAACTACAACCCGGTTCAAAAGTCTCCTTGACGATTTTCTTTCCGAAAGTGGATTATGTCATCTATTGAATATCAATGTATTCAATAATGATTTATACAAACAAGGTCCGTCATTTATTTAATTGCTTGAAAAGCGAAATAAAACCTTTAAATCTTTTCACGTCTATTTTGTTTTATTTCTCTTTATCTTAATATATGAAGTCTGATTATGTTCGTGTTTATCATTATTACCGTTATTAATATCATTATTAGTTCCCCGACACATTAGATATTCTTTTTGTATCTTCTTACCCTTCTAAACATATTTAACTCCAGATTGCCCTTTGAAATCAATTTTGACTTTCATAGCATCAATCTTAATTATTATTGAACAAATATTTAAACTAATATCCGGTTTCACTCTGT